AATGATGGCTATTCTAACAGGGGTGAGGTGGAATCTTAGTGTGGTTTTAATTTGCATTTCCTTTATTGCTAGAGATGGTGAGCATTTTTTCATGTGTGGCTTTCTTCTTTTACTTTGGTGGTGCTAGAGATTGAACTCAGAGCCTCTCATTTGCTAGGTCGGCGCTCTACCACCGACCTAGCCCCACCAGCCCTTTTTGCATTGGTTATCTTGAGATATTTATGCCTGGGTCAGTCTGGACCATGATCCTCTTCTTTGTTCTTCCCTGCACAACTGGGATGACAGGTGTGTGCACTATCATACCCAGCCATTTGTTGAGATGATGTCTCATAAACTTTGCCTGGGCTGGCCTCAAATAGTGAAACTCCTGATCTCTGCCTCCCAAGTAGGATTATAAGTGTGAGCCACCACATCCAGCTATTTCTTAGTTTTGATAGGCAGAGTTATTGGGTGATGGCCAAGTTTGTATTATCAAAATTTTAGTATTAAGATGGTGGTGATGGTTGCATGACATCATAGGTATATTTAATGCCACTGAATTGTATCCTTTAAAATGGTTAAAGGGCCCTGGGTTCAAGCTTCAGCACCAGAAAAATAAATGAAATGGCTAAAATGATACATTTTGTGTTACGTATGTTTTACCACAAGGTGATTTCTGTCAAGTGTTTGGATATGATAGGCATCTGTGGGTAATATGATTTATAAGAGAGAATCTGGAGTAGGGAAGAGAGTGGAGGATGTTGGTGAGGTAATGGGAAAGTCACTATAGAAGAGCAGAGCAAAGAGAAAACGAGTGTAACTTGTGATCGACAAGTAAGGAGCTAGGGAACACAGGCAAAGGAGGAACTTGAGATTTGCTGCCTGTGGGGCCAAAAGAATTTAAAATGTTAATGATACAGAAAATAACACCATTCATAATGGGATTTAGCAAGTAGTGTACTTGATTAACTTCACAGTCTTAGCACAAAGTGGTACTGTACTGATGCTGTGCTCCAAAAGGTAGAAATCTTCAAATCTCAAGGTTTCTACTTGGTTTTACAGTTGTGTATTTTATAAGATTAAGCTTAAAAGTTGGTGGTGGAGGGAGAAGATCAAAATATTTTATGAGTACAGCCTGCATTTGATGATACTTTGCAAGTTTTCTTAAGAATTTGTGGCATTGCCCCTTTTTTTCCAGTTACAGTTTCTTCTAGCAAGTCTACGAGTCATGAAAGGAAGTCAACACTGACCCCAACCCAGAGAGAAAATATATCAGCCAAGTCTCCAGTGCCTGGGGTGGATCCTGTTGTGAGCCACAGCCCATTTGATCCCCACCACAGGGGCAGTGCTGCAGGAGAGGTTTATCGGAGTCACCTTCCCGCGCACTTGGATCCAGCCATGCCCTTTCACAGGGCTCTAGATCCTGGTAAGCATTACGTGTAGTGACAGTCTATGGCAAAGAAATGATAAGCTTTTTTAAAAATAGTACGGTGTGCAGAAAATTGTACATATCATTAATGTACAGGTAAATGAAATTTTAACACCCATGTTACCAGCACCCAAATAAAGAAATAAAATAAATATTACATCATGTAATTAAAAGTAATAGATATCTGAAAAGCCTTTTTATTTGATGGAATTGGTGAAGCTGATTGAATAAGAAGGTTAATATGAAGAAGTATTTTTAAATGACAGGCATATCTTAAATATGTTAATTTACAGCATAGACATTACCAGTCTTCTGCATGAATGCCAAGGGAATTTTTTAAACTATTGATTAGAAATAGAAATTTTTTTAGGTCTTTCTAATATAAAAGAAATCATATTTCAGGCCTGACTTTGTTTGTTTAAATGAAGCTAGAATTTAAAGACAATTTCAGGTAATCCAAATGCAAAATCCTTGTAGATTTCTTTTTTAGTTCTTTAAAATTGTGCAGTCCACACCTGATTCACTTTCTTTAGAGTCTTTCCAAAGCCTCCAACTTAGCTTTCAAAGAAATAACTCTTCATTTTGTTTTCACTGAATTACAGGCTATTTTTTGGATGATACTGGGGTTTGATCTTATGGCCTCATGCTTGCTAGGTAGGCGCTGTACCACTTAAGTCACTCTGCCAGCCCATAAGTTACATAATTTAGTAATAAGTACAGCTGGAAGAAACTTGTGAGCACACATCACTGATATTGGTAGACATGCTTCTGGTAGGTGTGTAAGGGTGCAGGTTACTAGAAAGCAGTCTGCTGGGTCCTGTTTTATGCTGTGAGAGGGGAGAAGCTGTCCCACCACAGGTGGGATCAGAGCCTCTACCAGGCTTGCAGAGACCCCTGCAGGATTGGCTCTTCCTTGTCCTCCTAGGAACCTAGTCCTTGCTCCTCTTTGCTGCTGCCAGCTGAGCCTCTCCTCTGGCCTAAATTCATTACTTGCTACATGCTTTGAGTTAAAACTGGAATATAGAATACTTGTGCTTCACCTTGGTTCTTAGGGTAATACTTTTTATTAAAATACTTGAAAAGCTAAGAATTCTAAGAGTCAGTCGCATTTCATACTATTAAAGAAATTGTAGGAAGTACCTTATCTGAAAACTCTGTCAGGGCCAGCAGATGATTTTCTCTTGAAAATACTCAGTTTCAGAGGAATCTAAGAGGCCATAAAACAACTTATGATGGGTTTTTTCAATTAGATTTTCAACTTTCGTAATAGTGTCCAAGTGATAGGTAGGCAAGTCAGTGGAAACTGGACTTCACATTGTGAATTTGGACCTTTTCCAGGCTAGAAATGTGTGGTACCTATTCTCTTTCATGTTGCTAGGTGGCAGCAGTGAGCTATAGCTCCTGTCAGCCTTGCAATCATGAGAGGAAGCAACTAATACTGTGCAGCATGCTGTGTTGCTAAGCTAGTATGCTCAGATTAAGTACATTAAAGGCATTTTCAAGTTACACTTTCAACTTACAGTGGGTTTATTGAGACGAAACCTCATTGTAAGTCAAGGAACATATGCACTTAGGAGACTGTCTCCCAGACTGAGGTGAATAGTCAGCTGACAAATTCAACTTGGCTTGGAGTTGTGGATAAAAAGGAAGCACTTGTACCAGGAAATGTATCAGTGATTTTCCTAGGGAGAACATGTACATATAAGGTAATCCCCTCAAATTCTCAGACAGAATTGTTTAGCATTTCTGTTTACTGTCTGTCATAGTCCTTCATTTTGCACAGTTCCATTTGCTTGTCGTTTTGGGTCTGAGCTGTATAATAAATGCTTTAAGGATGCAGACATTACCTTCTACTTCTTACCATCTTGCATTTCTTTGTACCATCTCATGTCATGCTGTAACTAAACGGTTGCCAAACAATAGCATGCGGGACAAATCCTGCTGCCACCTGTTTCTGTAAATAAAATTTTATTAGACTGGGCACCGTGGCTCAAGCCTGAAATCTGAAGGAGGCAGGAATCAGGAGGATCATATTTTGAGGTCAGCCCAGGCAAAAAAGTTCATGAGCCCTCATCTCAACCAATAAAAGCTGGACATAGGGGCATGCACCTAACATCTCAGCTACTAGGAAAGTATAAATAGGATGATCGCTGTCAAGGCTAGCCTAGTCATAAAGCAAGACCCTATCTGAAGATTAACCAAAGCAAAAAGGGCTGGGGGTGTGGTTCAAGGGGTAGAGTGCCTGCCTAGCACGTGAAGGCCCTGAGTACCCCAGTATTAACCAAATTAATTAAATTTTATTAGAGCAGGCCTAATACAGGCCTATACCTGTAATCACAGCTACTTGGAAGGTGGAGGTAGGAGGATCACAGTTTGAGGCCGATCCAGGCAAAAGCTAGTGAGACCTTATCTCAAAAGCAAATGTAGAGGGCTGGTGGAATGGCTCAAGTGGTAGAATATCTACCTAGTAAGTGTGAGGCCCTGAGTTCAAACCCCAGTACTGCCAAAAAAAAAAAGCAAATTTAGTGTGGTGACTGCATTTGTAATCCCATCTACTCTAGAGGTGGAGGTAGGAGTATCTTGGTCCAAAACCAGCCTGGGACAAAAACTGGAGACTATCTGAAAAGCAAAAAGACTCAAGTGGTAGAGCACATACCTAGCCAAATGAGAGACCCTGAGCTCAAAACCCCAGTAAGCTCCCTTCCCCCAATTTTTTTTATTAGCACATATCCATGCCCAAGTGTTCATTGTTTGGTAGCTTCCTATCTCCTTCAGTCAGAGTGGACGAATACTATGTGGCCCACACAGCCTAAAACATTTATCATCTGACTCTTTATAGAAAGTTTGGTAATCTTTGTTCCAATCACATGCACTAATTAAATGCTTGTAGACTAATCATTTTTACCACTAAGAAAATAAAATTGCCATGTCACAAGGTGTTTTCACATACATTTCCATTTGATTGTACTGATATTACATTGATAATACAACTCTTGGATACTTTAGGTAAAACATAATAAAGTTTCATGTCAAAATTGAAAATGAAAATACTAAGAAAATTTTAGCTACCGTTTTCCTTTTTCATTACATCTCAGACATTAGAATGAATTAGAATTTGTACAACTAATATATCAAGGTCTAAAATGAGTCCACCATACTCTCTGGAGCCTAGTGAAAACTGCATGTAGACTAGCTTAGCAGATTTTTTTCTCTCACCATTTCTGTGGGTGATGTTTAGCAAATGAACTTCACTCAGGACAAAACTCAATGCCTTTCTTTCCTTCTCTCACTCAGCAGCTGCTGCTTACCTGTTTCAGAGACAGCTTTCACCAACTCCAGGCTACCCAAGTCAGTACCAGCTATACGCAATGGAGAACACAAGACAGACAATCCTAAATGATTACATTACTTCACAGCAGATGCAAGTAAACTTGCGCCCTGATGTAGCCAGAGGACTCTCCCCACGAGAGCAGCCACTGGGTCTCCCGTACCCAACAACAAGAGGTGTGTGTCTTTGCAGTTTAGATTTTGTAGAGTTTGTCACGTTTACTCGATAACAGATACTTGTTAAGTGAATGATGGAAAGACAGAAGTCTGTATCCTGTCCATAGACTTTAGTCCTTGAAAAAGCAAGCAAAGTAATGTATCAAGATGAAGTGTTTCAGTGAACACTAAAATAACCAATCCAAATTATTGTGTCGCGTATTTGAAATCAATGTTTCCCAGTTTGTTGTCTCTCAGTATTCAATATCCTTCTCTAGATTTAAAAAAGGTCTTAACAAGTAATGATGATCTTAAACATTTTCATTTATATTGTGTACAAATTATCATTGTATTATAGTAACAAAATCCAGAAATCCATGTATAGTTCTATACTTTTACAGTAATGCTTAACATAAATTGTATTTGTCTTTTGGATAGGAATCATTGACCTGACCAATATGCCTCCAACAATTTTAGTGCCTCATCCAGGAGGAACAAGCACTCCTCCCATGGACAGAATCACTTATATTCCTGGTACACAGATTACTTTCCCTCCCAGGCCATACAACTCTGCTTCTATGTCTCCAGGTAAGATGCTGCAGTCCCAACACCTTTCTAATAGGACTTTCATGTTTGAGATATTAAGACCTCTTAACACCTCTTAAGGTGCTTTGGGCAGTCTTTTTCCCACTTAAACATTTGTCAATAGTTCCTATGTGCCATTTGCTACTAGATACTCTAGAAATACCCTAAAAGTTATTAATTCTCCAGCTACCCAAGACGCTTAAGTAAAACAAACTTCCTATATTCCAAATTTGGAGTTTTTTTAAAAAAAGTTTCAATCGCTTACAAATTTAAAAATTGTACCCGATAGGTTGACATTTTGGTCTTTTAAGTTGTAGATTTGTGTGTTTCACAGGACATCCAACACACCTTGCAGCAGCTGCAACTGCTGAGAGGGAGCGGGAGAGAGAGAGGGAAAAGGAGCGAGAACGGGAGCGGGAACGGGAACGGATTGCGGCTTCTTCAGACCTCTACCTGAGGCCAGGTCAGTGAAAGACTCTGCTCCTCCTCCCAGGGACAGGTCTTGATAATCTCTTGTGGTGAGGCATTATGCTCAATGTTGTGGGGGCAAAGAAGAATTCTAAGTTGTAAAGTCCATTACAGGCCTCAAGTGAAAGTGTTGTAGAAGTTGAAATGAACTTTCCATGATGAAGGTGTCTATTTGATTTGGCCCAAGAACATGGGTGTGAAGGCATGGGGCATAGAACTCTTAAAGCTGAAAGAGTGGAACAGAAAAAGGCGCTAGGCAGGAAGGTATTGCTAAACTCCAGCTTCAAGGGGGAAGAGAGGATATGGTTAGAAGGTTGTATAACATCTTGAATACAGTGCTTACAATAAAGTGCTGCTATTCTGTTCAGGAGGCAGATGACATGATCAGAAGGACATTTTCATAGAGTGATGTGAGATAGCTTAGAGCCACGAAGGTGGGCTTGGACTGTTGCCGGTAGGCCAGTCAGACTATGTCAGTAGTTCATGTGTATGCTAATGGTGACCTGAAATATTTTGACACAGGAAATGACCAGGAAAGAGCTGCTAGAAAGAATGTGAGAGTATCCAAGACACTTGATAATAACTAGATAGGAGAAAGGAGGAAGAGAGGAGAAACAAGATTGGCCTGCAATTTATGATAAAGCATGAGGCAAGTGTAGTTCACGCTTGAAGTCCCAGCAATCAGGAGGCTGAGACTTGAGGATTGTGAGTTCAGGGCCAGCCTGGGCTACATAGCAAGACCCTGTCTCAAAATGAAACAATCAAAACACAGTATGAATTATAAAGAGTGCAATTAGTGAAAGCAAAGAGATAATGATTTTTTTTGGACATACTTAATCTGACATACTTTTGGGTTTTGGGCCATCTGTTTTTATCTATTATATACTTGTCTTTTTTCAAGTCTTTTAATTAATTAAATCAGACCATTTACCTGGTCCATATTGTTGAAATACTTAACCTGGTACTCAGGAGAAAAGAGAGAAAGAGAACTTAAGAGTTGAAACTCTGGCTTGGGTGAGATTAAAGGCAAAAGCTTGAAAAGAGTCGTTTCAGAAGTTGCCAGAAGAACTAATGTAGGTGAAGGCAAGAGGAAGCTGAGATGTAAAGCCAAGTGTTATGGGACACATCTATAATCCTAGCTACTCAGGAGATGGAAGCAGGAGGAGTGCAAATTCGAGGTCTGCCTGCACAAAGGGGCTGAACGCATTACTCAAGTGGTAGAGTGCTTTCCTAGCATATACAAAGCCCTTGGGTTCAATCCAAAGTACTGAGGGTGGGGGGGAAGCAAAGATGTCGTGGTAGAGATACCTGCAGAACTAAAAAGCACAGTGACAGGAGGGTATTACATTCATGTATTCATAAAGGACAAGCCCTTCAAAATCAATGTGGGTGATACTATATTGAAGGATCCCCCAAAAATAGTAATCTTACTTGATCTAGTCATATTATTATTGAGTATTGATTTGAGACATTTCAGTGGTTGCAAAACCTAAACACAATTAGATGCAACCCAGTATCTATATATAATAAAAACCACTAATATTCTAACTATAGGAGATACCATAGTGAATTGTGAGGCAACACCAAATGGATTATATAAAAACATGAAAAATAGATTTAATGAAAGAAAGACACATACAAATGGTACATAGCTTTTACTAGATTTTTAAAATACTTGTGGCCCCACTGATGTACAAAATGTAGATTTAAGACAACAGAATACCATATTTCTTTATCAGGCATTGGATTAATAAATTTTCCATGTTGCAGGGTCTGAACAGACATAATGTTCATATGTAGCAGAGGCAGTGCAAATTGGCTTAGCTCTCTTAGAGATTTATAAATGGGATTTGATTAGCAATTCCCTTTCTGGGAATATATACTATAGAAGGGAGAAAATTGTTGAAAAGCCTGAATAAAGTGGTACTGGCTATGACACTAAGTGTGTGCTAAAACTGCTAGCTCTTAGTTAGGGCAAAGAACAAGGTTGAAAGTTGCAGTGAGAGCTCAGAACAAGAGGAGGTAAGGAAGAAAGTGATGAAGGAATGTGAGACTTCAGCATCCTCCCAATTCTACAGCAGAGTCAAAGTTAAGTGAACAGAAATGTCTAAAGCCTTGAAGAAGTGTAGTTATAGAAGCCACGCTTTTGAGGAAGGTGGTGTGCATGTTTCATCTCACAGGTGAAAGCTTGTTGAGAGAAACAGTTCCCTGTGAAGGGCAGTAAAGAAGTAAAGCAGAAAGATCTATGGTTAAGTGAAATAAATAGGCCCCACATCCTAGTGTAGTCTCAGTCTATTATTGTCATTATGATGCTTGGAAAATTGTATGTAGCTTGATTTTGGAAATCATAAACACCAGAGTTTGAGTATAAATTTGAGGGATGAGACTATCTAGATTGAAACTCATCACAAAATTGGAAATGACAATAAATGATAGCTGATGCTTCAAGTTACTTACAGGTTTTACTAAATCTATTAAGAAACTTAAAGAACCTGTTTCTAGAAAGGTCAGAAAGTAGAATATTGAGTTTATTGGTCTCATTTTCCTTCTCTATTTAGGAATATTAGAGAATATTAGGGAATTAACAACACATAAGTATTGTTGTCTTTTTCTTTCTAGCTGCTGCTTTATGGTTTATTTTTCTTCCTTTTTCTTTTTTGCGCCTGCAGGCACAGAACAGCCAGGTCGACCTGGTAGTCATGGATATGTTCGTTCCCCTTCTCCCTCAGTAAGAGCTCAGGAGACCATGTTGCAGCAAAGACCCAGTGTTTTCCAGGGAACCAATGGAACCAGTGTAATCACACCTTTGGATCCAACTGCTCAGCTACGAATCATGTCAGTTTCTTACACGTTTTTGCCAGAAAAAATACCAGTCTCTTGCATATACATGTTTGAATTTGTGACTGCAAATAGGTCAAGTATAGGCAAGATTTTCCATTTGCTAAACTTTTTTTCCTTCAGTTTGTTCCTGCATCTCCCCCCACATCCTTCCGGTAAATGTCCTTCCCTTCACAAAGCTGTGATTTTTTTTTTTTATTTACAGGCCACTGCCTGCTGGGGGCCCTTCAATAAGCCAAGGCCTGCCAGCCTCCCGTTACAACACTGCTGCGGATGCCCTGGCTGCTCTTGTGGATGCTGCAGCTTCTGCACCCCAGATGGATGTTTCCAAAACAAAAGAGAGTAAGCATGAAGCTGCCAGGTTAGAAGAAAATTTGAGAAGCAGGTCAGCAGCAGTTAGTGAACAGCAGCAGCTAGAGCAGAAAACCCTGGAGGTGGAGAAGAGATCTGTTCAGTGTCTGTACACTTCTTCAGCCTTTCCAAGTGGCAAGCCCCAGCCTCATGCCTCAGTAGTGTATTCTGAGGCTGGGAAAGATAAAGGGCCTCCTCCAAAATCCAGATATGAGGAAGAGCTAAGGACCAGAGGGAAGACTACCATTACTGCAGCTAACTTCATAGACGTGATCATCACCCGGCAAATTGCCTCGGACAAGGATGCGAGGGAACGTGGCTCTCAAGGTTCAGACTCTTCTAGTAGCTGTATGTATCTCAGCCTGAGTTTCACAGTGTGATTTCTGGGTAGAGAATGACTTTTTTCTTTAGGTAAAGCGCAACTGTATGGTATAGAAAACCCTAATGCTTGACAGTAAATGTAAGAAAAATTTTTGTGGGTAGTGTAAAAATGTATCTTCTACTGTTTTTTTGATTTAACTAAGCCAACAATTTATTTTTCCAGGAGAAAACTATACCTTTTATAAAATCTAGTTGGAAAGTAGCATTTGATAAAAGAGCAGAGCTCTTAATGTGGTTAGGCATCTAAAAGGTAATGGGTGCACCCATCAAGCTCTGTGCTACTAAGGTGTAATTTCTCAGGGATCACTTTTCAGGACATGGTTCATTATTTAGGCCAATCCCTCAGAAGCCTTTCCATCCTTTTTCTAAGGTACAGGTTTTTACAAATTATCTTTCTTTTTTTTTGGTTGGTATGGGATTTGAACTCAGGGCCTCATGCTTGCCAAGCAGGTGGAGTAGCACTTGAGCCACTCTTCCAATCAAAATACAGGTTTTTAAAAAAGAAAAAAAAACAAAAACAAAAAAAGATACAGGTTTTAAAAAGTGAGACTATTAATGGTGCTTGGTATTTATTTTGTAACTTTCTTGAAAACAACTTTGATCCTGTCTGGGTAGTTAGTTATTCTGATATCTGCCCAACAAGAAAGAATTTATATCTTCACTGAAATAATAGAAGAGTTACTGTTAAAAAATTTCTTCTTAATTACTGCCTACATTCTATAAGGAATTCCAAAAAACCCACAGGTATTTAAATAAGCAGCTATACTTGAAGTAATTTAATCATATACGCATCTTTCTTTTATCTCCACTAAAGAAACAATAGCATTGGGGATAATGAGAAAAAAAAAAAAAGATTTCTTACTTGCCAGAATGCAACATGCAGTACTTTTTATCTTCAAATATCCACTTGTTTAACTGTAACTTGTTTGGGTCCATATCTACCCTATTGCTGAAGTTTTTTAGACGGAAGGGGGCAGCTTACAAGGGCACTATAGAAGAAAGACTTTCTTTTAACCTGGTTTTAAGTAAATCCATGATACAGCTTTTTAACATGCAGAAAATTGCTAGCTGAGGAAGAGTGCTGTATGAAGAGGGTCTTGGGAGGTAGTCACCAGCCCACATTGGTGATGTGGAACAGGGTAGCAAGCAGGCTGCCTAGACACTGGATTAAATGCTTCTTTGCACTCTGTATCTTGATCTGCGAGTTTGCTTTTCAGCAGATCTGAAAATAGAAAGCCCTTGTTCTTTAACAAGTGTTCATGTTTCTGAGTGCAGTTATGTTTTTAATCACTGGGCAATGACCTGTATGAAGTCCACAGTACTACAGGTACTCAGTATAAGTGTTCAGTTTGATCTTGAGAGCCTCCCCCACCTTGGAGATGAAGCATATTGCCTTCACCTTGACCCAAGTCTTCAAGAGCAAGGTGAACACAACTCGGGATCAGACTTCCTAATGACAAAATACAGCTAGTTCATTAGCACTTTCAAGATGTTGGTTAATAAGTAGTGATAAGTAACTGTGGATACAGAAACTATAAGTTATTGTAACTGTACTTACAATACAGTGATTTATTTTACTTTCTTGATTATTTCCATCCCATTTATCAGGTTTCTCTTCTCCTAAACCCAGGTAACTGCAATTTCCATGGCCAGGTTGGGGTAGGCAAGGTGTTAATTACCAGAGGAATAGGTGGTAGCTGAGTGATAAAAGTTCATTCCTCTCTTCTGTATGTGTCCAGCCAAGGTCACATACCATTTTCTGAGACTTGATGCATCCTATAAATGCAAAGAATCCTTTGATGTCAGAAGATTTTTAAGTAGGAGGTTACATCTGCCTGTCTCTAGCTCTGAGGTCGTGCAGGACTATGAAAAGCTGCCTCTACCCCCTCTGCCTACCCCCTCAATTTTCATGGCTTTTCTGCATCTTAGAGGGGGCTTTTATGTTGGCATCCTCCAGAGTTGATGGGCATCCTTTCTGTGAATTTACTTCTCTACCATTTCCATTTATTTTCAAAACGTAACAATGGTGCTAAAAAATGATTTGGAGTAATTTTTGTCAGCAATATTTCAGTTAAAATCATTATACAATGCTTTGTAAACTATCGCTTTTAAAATTGTCATGTTAACGAAACAGCTTTATAGACTTAACTTTTTCTAAGAATATATTGTCCCACACAATTGGAATTACTAGAATCAATTAATTGTTGAGATGTGATCCCTCATTCGTTTATTAATCTCCTCTGATTGTTTCCCTGGCGCTCTTTTCCAGTTCTCGGGAAAATATTGCAAATCTGTTCTCTAGTCTGCCTTGTCTCATTGTTTATTAAAAGGTCTTAAGAGCCCAGGAAATTTGAGAAAATGCCACATACCCTACTGAGATTAGGAACACACAGGCACCTTTAATACAGTGTGTTGGGTTCAATAAATTTTGCCATTACCTTGGAATACCATTGGACATTTCTGAGAATTAAAAAAATGAAAATATGCAAAAAGGCTTGAAGAACTTGGACTTTAGAAACTTTCTGTGGATTCATTTTAAAATAAGTTTTGTTTTGTTTTTTTTTTTTAAAGTATCTTCTCACAGGTATGAAGCACCCAGTGATGCTATTGAGGTGATTAGTCCTGCCAGTTCACCTGCACCACCCCAGGATAAACTGCAGGCCTATCAGCCAGAGATTGTTAAAGCAAATCAAGCAGAAAGTATGTCTTTTTTAGCCACCACTTACATGTTTCCATATTTGCATTTTTCATTTGCTTCAATTATGTGTCTAGACCATGTTTGTTTTAGGGTAATCTGCTTTTGAAATATTTAAAATTCCACTAACAAAAGCAACTTTGATGCTGTTAATTACTTTTCAGTTTATAGCTTAATGATACAGAAAATACTTGATATTTTGTTTGCCCACTTCATTCTGTAGTCCTCAGGCTTGTAACATTGAATATTTTTTGCTTCACAATTAAGATTCATAAAATTCTGTATTTAGAGGTTCTTACCACATCCTTTTGTGGTACTCTTCTGAATTATGTGTGCTCTTTCTCTGGAATAAGACATCTACCTTTCTCCATTAGGCGATCCCAGTAGACAGTATGAAGGACCTCTGCATCACTATCGGCCCCAGCAGGAGTCGCCATCTCCGCAGCAACAGCAGCAGCCACCCCCACCTTCCTCCCAGGCAGAGGGGATGGGGCAGGTACCCAGGACCCATCGGCTAATCACACTTGCTGATCACATCTGTGTATGTTTTTCCTATGCCTGTTATTAGTTCTTCTTGTTTTGATCATGTACAAAGCAGATTTCATAAGAAGAAAATCACAATAAGCTATGCCACTTTGTTTTTTTTCCTCATTCCAGCAAATTATCACACAAGATTTTGCTAGAAATCAAGTTTCCTCGCAGACTCCCCAGCAGACTCCCACTTCTACATTCCAAAATTCACCAACTGCTTTGGCATCCACACCTGTGAGGAGTAAAACATCAAGTCGCTACAGCCCAGAATCCCAGTCTCAATCTGTTCTCCATCAGAGACCAGGTTCCAGAGTCTCTCCAGAAAATCTTGTGGACAAATCTCGGGGAAGGTATGGTCTTTATTGTAAACCATATGTAAATTTCATAGTAGCAAATCAATTTGAATATGTTTACAAGGTAGGGAATTCATTTCTCACACCAGAAATTCCTTTGCCTTTATTTGGAGAAATGTGTAAATTGGGGGTTTTCCTTCTATTAGTCTTGGTCTGTCCAATGTCTAGGCATTTGATACTGTTTATTAATGTATGCAAAAGTTGGTTTTATTTATTATTTTATTGGTTATCATGAGGTAGTTTAATACAGTTTAGGGATGTTTGAGTACTACTTCAAAATCAACTCTTAAACCAGGTGGTGCTCCTGTAACCCCAGCTACTTGGGAAGCAAAGGCAGGAGGATGCCCAATTTTGAGTCCAGCCTAGGCAACATAGTGAGACCCTTAAGAGGGCTAGGGATATAGCTCAGTGGTATGGTTCTTGCTTAGTATGTGCAAGACCCTGGGTTCAATACCCACTTCCCCCATCTCAGTGTTTACCTTACTCAGCACTTGCTTGCTTTTTAAATTTTTTTCCTTTCTTTTTTCTTCTCAGGGAAAAAAGTACTTGCTAAGCAAGTACTCTACCGTTTGAGCCATGCTTACAGCCTCATATTCAGTGGCTTCTATTGGCTCTAGAGTAATACATGTTTAGGAGGGTAACATTAAATAAAGTGAGGCCAATAAGAGGCATCAGGGAAGAAACATTTTATGTGGTAAAATAAAATGTTCTTTACTGCCTGGTAAAGAACATATTTTTTTACCCAATGTTCTATCTGGATTTTTTTTTAAGGGAGATAGGGTTTCTGTTTCTTATAGTAGACTAAACATCAGTACATGTGAAATGATAGTTAAATAGCACAAAGGGAATTAATTCATAAGAATTCTGAGAACAAGAATGAGATAGCAACAGCAAATTCTGGCAAATTCCTGGAAGATACACAGAGTATTTATGAATCAGATAGCAGAAGCCGTTGCTCAGAGTATGAGAAGAAATTGATAGCAGAAATGGTTCTTCAGTCTGCCTACCAACCCCTCAAAGTAAGCAAAGAACAGAAGGAAATAGAATAATGTATTTAAGAGTGTGATGTTCTTTTTAAAAACGCTTTATTGCAGAAGTTTTAAATACAGAAGTAGAACAGTATAATACACCTCCATGTATCCATCACCGAGCTTTGATAACCATCAGCAAACTGCCAACTTTGTTTCATTTTTATTTATGCTTGCCCTACCCCAATACTGGATTATTTTGAAGCAAATCTTGGATATAATGATTTCAAGAAGTTGGGTGGTCTTTTTTTTTTTTTTTTTCCAAGCCTTACTATAAAAGTATATTAAATGACATAGCATGGTATTGGTGAAAGAATAGGCAAAGAGACCAACGGAACAGAGGAAAGGTAGAGATGTAACTGATGTAAGTAAACAAGTAGGATTAAATTGAAAGATGATAGGCTTTTCAACAAATGGTGCTGGAACAATTCAGTGTTCTTATGTCCCCCCAACACACACACACACACACACACACACACACACACAAATACACACACACACACACACACACACACACACAAAAATCCAGACACAGGTTTTATTTTACTGTTGATAGTTATAAAACAAAATGGGATATAGACCATAATATAAAATGCAGAACAATAAAACTTCTAGGAAAAAACCTCGGTGACTTTAGAATGGTGATAAGTTTTTAGAAGTAATACCAAAAGCATAATTCATGAAAGCAGAAAGCTGAAATTTTGAAATTAAACACTCTGCAAATCTCAGTACTGCCCAAAACAGACAAGACACTGAGCTCTATGAAAGGCATTTGGACTTTGACAGAACATACACGCAAACAAGTATCTGATAAAGGACTTGTATCCAAAAAGTTCTCTTGACAGTTCAGTAATAAGGAAACAAGCAGTCCAACTGAAAATGTACATTTTACCAAATTTTTTATTTTTGTTTTATCTTTAAGAAGCTGGGCTGGCAGAATGGTTCAGACAATGAATGCCTGCCTACCAAGTGTGAGACCATGAGTTCAAACACAGTGCCACCAAAAAAAAAAGAATTGCTAAAAGAAGCTGGATGATCTTAAGGATAAGATGAAAACACGTTTACTCTCTTTTAGCTGAAAAAGAAAATAAATGCAGTTATCAAAAGCAGAAAGCTTTTAAGAATTGGCTGTGTCGGAGTGGGAAAGGAAATACCAAATAATGTGTATATATAGTTATGCTTAACTGTAATAGTAACAAGTGCAGATGTTGAAACGGTGGGCTCTTAGTTTGATAATCTCTTAAGTAAAAAAAAAAATATTTTTAAGTCTACACCATGAATTTATCTCACATTATCCTTACCAGGATAAACATTAAATGGCAGAGAGCCTTTCAGTCTTAAAATAGTGTATGTATCTAGAGCCTACATCAGCTCACAGTTCCAGTTTAGTACTCATCCTTAACTTAATTGAGAAAGATCTGGTAAGCTGTGACTAAGAATAAGCAGTGAGAGCCCTGAGTGCTCGCCTGGACTCACTGGCCAAAGGGTAGGCTGCAGCCTAACGTTGAAGGACATGCAATGAGCTGCTCCCTGCTGATGTGACTCCTGGGTCTATGCAGAAGGTGCCTGGAATAGACTGTTCTTGATAAGTAGGTGTATAGCAAAAAAAAATTGGCAGCTTTGCTCCTCCTCCTGAAGGAAATCCTGAGTTGAGTTCGTCTCCAGCAAGCTCTTTGCTAGCATCAGAAGACAACCTAATCTTGTGCTTGTTACACCAGCAGGCCTGGAAAATCTCCCGAGAGGAGTCACATCCCTGCAGAACCCTACGAGCCCATCTCCCCACCCCAGGTTCCGGTTGTGCACGAGAAGCAGGACAGCATGCTGCTGCTGTCACAAAGGGGTGTGGAGCCTGCAGAGCAGAGGTGAGGAGGACACCTCCCTCACTGCAGCTTCTAGTCTGGGGCTGACTCAGTGCCTAAAGTTTTCAATTTTATGCCAGTAACTTTTTTCCCTTTTTGGCTTCTATGTCAGAATGGGACTCTCAAAGGATCGTTTAGGTTTGCTTTCTCAGTGAGCTATTGCGACTAGTTTTTACAAAAGTATCGTGAAGTCTAAATATATTAGAGAAAACTTGTTCATTATTACTCTTGAACATAAGTCCGTCTAGATTATTTCTGAAAACTTTTTTATCACCCAACATTTGAGTGCTTATTGTGTGGACTATACATAGACCAGACCATCTTACATATTTTCTGATGATCTTCTAACCCTGACTCCAGCTATCTGAATGATTACATGAGTTGGATTTAGTCCCTTCTAGTCACTCTCCATACCCTCATCAGGGTAGTTTGTATAAACCTCACAGTAAGTCAAGCACTAATCCACTAGCATAGCATGTGAGCTCGCAAGACCAGGTTTATGCAGCTTCAATTCCTGCTGCTTTACCTTTACACTGCTCCTTTCCCTAACTCAAGCTGTTTTCTTAGTGCATAACACCATCCCCAAGACTGAGAGGCAAATACATGATTTTCCTCTGTGGTCAGACAGATAGAAAAAGGGAATAGTTTGGTTTTAAACCAAGGTCCCACTCCAGGCTGTTGGTGTATTTCTTAGCATGTGCTGTTGTTTATATTCATAGATAATGAGATAGATGTTGGTACCTTCAATAAAATGAGTTAGGAAATTTATTTTTGGGGGAAGAGAATGAGGTTAAATTTCATTACACATTTACATGTTTGCATGACCTCAGTTTTCTATCACCTTCATTGTCTTTCTGGGCAGGTAGCAAGTATTCTTATGTTTGAATGGTGAATAAATTCATATGACAGATTGTTATCATTTCTGGGGCTCTAGCTATACCTTTGGGGGCCCTCTTAGGAAAACTATTTATTAAAAATGTGTTAGTATAGGAAGCTACCAGTGAAATATAAAATCCTTTGCATTAAACTTACCTGTCTTGAAATGACTGTAACAGTCAGTTTATTTCAGCACTACAGCTATTCTGTTTATGCTGAACTGTAAATTTCTTAGGTATAAGCTCTTGCTATTCTATAGGCAAGTGTGCTATTACAACTTTAGTATGTTTAAAAATAATTCTGTGAGTACCATAGTTCCCAGTTCATGTAATAATTATAGTTTATGTTGTTAAGCACAGAGCATCATGGTAAGCTGTTTTGAGTTTTCCCATTCATTTCTTAAGAATCCATGCTCTAGATTATCTCCATTTTAATCCTAATTTTAAAATTTCATTTTTGAGAGGTATAGCACTTGACTATGTCCTTAGGAGTGATGCACTAACTTTCTGTGGTCGCATTGTTTCTTAGGGTTATAACCACAAACACAGGATGGGGAGGCAGTAGTTTTCCAAGTATGCTGTGGCTATTATCATCAATAGAACTGTTCGCAGGGTTAGCAGTACAAGATTATAATAGACTGAACTGTGTTCCTAACAGGAATGATTCTCGCTCACCAGGGAGTATAAGCTACTTGCCTTCATTCTTCACCAAGCTTGAAAACACATCACCCATGGTGAAATCAAAGAAGCAAGAGATTTTTCGTAAGTTGAACTCCTCTGGTGGAGGTGACTCTGATATGGGTAAGTGGGATTTCTTTCACAAACTCCAAATAAAGCATACGTTAACAATGTTATCTCCAGTGTTGCCTCTCCTGTACTCCTTGAGTTTTCAGGCTTTTACAGGGCCTCTGTCCAACACATCTGAACCTGAAATGTCCACCTGTTCATGAAAACTTACCTAGAAAGTAGGAACTTGCTCCTTTCTGAAGCCTTCCATTTTCTCTGGGAACTAATGCTGGGTCTAGGGCACTTTTTTCTGTGGTGGGGCTGGACTAGGCTGGCTGTGATTTTGGTTTTGTTGTGTTTTTTTTAACCTACTGATCTTTATCTATTTGGGCCATCTGTACATTGACATCTCTTCAGATATTTGAAGACAAGTCCTTCATGAGTCTCATCCCTCCGTAAACATCCACCCCCCACCGTTTCACCAGCTATTCCTCATGTCCTTGTTTTCATACCCTACTAACTCAGTTGCTATCCACCAAAAAGCATTTTATTTAGCTTAGCTTTTCAATAGGTTCTGAGTTATAAGTAGTGATATGATGTGTCCTAAATTTGGCATTATTACTGCAGCCTAACATTGTCTCAGCATTTTTGCTGGTAATCCCAACACTTGTTATAGTGTGCTAAGTATGAATGCAGATGTCAAGATCTCTTCATGGCCACTCTGAAACCATACCTCTCCCCGATTCTGTTTGGGAATCACTAGTTTCAGGTTTAGGACAAGGTAATTTGTGATTGCTCCATTCCACCTACATTTTCTGTCTGGATCTCATTTAAGTCATTCAGCATTTATATGCATCTATGATAAACTTGGCCATCTGAAAAATGTAAATAATGGTAACAAGAGGTAATTAGCACTTATGTGCTAGGCACTATCCTAGTATTGTAAATATTCTATTCATTTAATCCTCCCAATAACCCTATACACGACATATAATTATCTCCATTTTGTAGGTGAGGAAACTGAAACTCAGAGAGGCTTAATAACTGACGCAGGTTATGTAACTAGTAAGTAATGGGCTTTGGCTCAAACCCAGGCCTTCCAACTCAAGTCTGTGCTTCCAGTGATGTCTGACTGACTGCTAACAGTTCTTTGCTCACAGCATTCTTACGGATTATTGATAAATATCCAATCAAGGTGTGTGGCAGAACCTTTCCTTGGGCTGATGTGCATGCGTTCATCAGAACTCTGTTGTACTGTTTACTCAGCATGCTGCCTTTACTTGTCCATCAGTTACATCCAGTGATAGAGAACCAAGACAGACTTCCATGTGCTTTGTTTCTGTCTCCTGACCCTGTCAAAAGAAAGGAAATTGTGGGTTTGAACTGTGAACTGCCAGCTAGACACATGGCTGGATCTCTGCCACTTTATGATTAGTGGTTGTCTGAGCCCAGTATCACTTAGTGCGGTGAACTTATCCTAGCTCTTAATTAATTACTAAGTTTTTCTAAGTGTCAAAGGTAAATATTTTAGAATGCCTACTACTAGAAATGCTATCAGGCTCACAGATACTCTTCCTTTAAAATAAGTATTATTATACTTTTCTACTTCTAATTTCAACTTCTATTTCTGTTTTTTCAGTGTCACCAGCATAAACATGGTGCCCTTATTTTCAAATTCTCTGAGCCGGGAGACATACGAGCTCAGAGCAGCCAGTTGTGTGTGGGGAAGACTCATCCTCTCTAGTCTTTGCCTTTCCCTTGTGACAGAAATTCTTGACTGGCAACTGCCATATATGAGTTGAAGCAAGCTACTTTTTCTCTTCTGACCCCGTTTTTTACATTGTCCTTGGTAGCAGCTCTCACTGTTTCAACAATCATTTATTAGAATATTATGTTGACAGATGTTTTTAAATATATGATAAAAGTATAT